TGATCAGTCGGATCTGAGAGAAATCAAGAGAGAGAGAGAGGAGTGAGAAACGACGAATGTGGAAGAGAGAGGGGAAGGTGAAGGTCTAATAGCCGCGTTGGAGAAGGGTTTGAATCGAGTGCGCACGCATTTCTTGCTTCTCACAGCTGGCTAGCCAATAAACACGCGCCACCTCAGAATCTACGGAGGGCAGTATGGTCAATTTTATTTATTTTCCTTGTAAGGCTTGATCTGATGGTCAATAACCAGTTGATAAACATTTTCCCTTGATTGCTTTGATTTTGGTTTGTTTGTCTTTTAAATTTGATTGCTAGATCCAATGTGTATGACTTGCAATGTAAGGATGTTTAGTGGGGGAAATTTTGAGGCTTTTTTTTCCCTTTCTTTTTGGTGTAAAGTTTGAAAAGAAAAAAAATCTAATCAAGAAATTGTTCTAACCCAGCTAACAACTAAAATATTGATTTACTAATTTGATTAACTAAAGTATTGATTTACTAATTTGATTAATTTTCGTTCAGTAACATTTCTGTTTTCTTGAAAATATTGTTTTATCATACTTAAATACATCGATTTTGAGATATAGGAACATTACCAATTGAGCCCATAAGATTTACTCATGATTGAAGAACTTTATGAAGGGAGATCAATAAGTACCTTTTTCTGAATTGATCTCTACTGTAAGTAGAAATCACTGGTATTAATATGTTAATGATGAACATAGGTGAGACTTTAATTTTCAAAAGATACCAATTAAATGGTCATAAATGAGAAAAACATATTGACAAAAGGCATAATTCTGATTTCATATGAAATCCCTTTCTATCATTTCGAGAAATAACAAAAATGTACCAACTCCATTTCCTACCCTTTCCATATCATTCACAATAAGCCAAAAAGATTGAGCAGACAAGTGAGGCATAATAATGGACGCTAACAATTCAAACCACAACACAACCACTTATAATGTTAATGTTGTCACGTTTACAAAGGCAAAAATTCAATGGCATAAAAGCATAGAACTTTAAAAATTTTCTTAGGTCACTGAAAGTGCAGAGTAGCTGCTATAGGCAAATCACAACATGAATTATCAGAGAGTATCATAGTAAGAAATTCGTGTCGCCTGGAGCAGAAATAAATCCACTTGAACAACGTCGACATGCCCGAAAGGCAATGGGATTAAATGTTTCACCAGTACAGCCAGGAAATTAAAGAGAGAAGTTAAGCAGTCCGCTTGATGATGTGAACTCCACTGTCAGTATCCACAATCTCACTTATCTCTCCAACCTTGAGGCCAAATGCTGCTTCTTCAAAAGGTTTCTGCATCTGGCCACGTCCAAAAGGACCTGCAGAAACATTATTGTGTTGCTTATTTAGATGCATCAGATCCTAAATCTTAATCCACACAAAAATGAATGCAGGAGTAGAATATATTTTTCTGAGTTCAGTAACAACATATAGGGATGGAGATTCAAATCCATAATCTTTTAGTCAGAGATATATGCCTCAACCATTTGAGTTTCAAGAATAGAATATCAACTGCCATATAACATATCCTTATGATCTAGAAACGTCCAAAGAAAACCCTGCTATGGAACTACCGAGCACATTACACTTTGGGATTATACCAACTGTGCTTGTTGGGGCAGACAAGAGTACAAAACTACAAATTACTAGCAGCCACTACTATCAAACTGGGATTGTTTAGGCATTGCTAGTTCTCCACCCCTCCCTTTGATTTCTAAAGCTTCCATTTAACTGTAGATTATTTGTTGTATCAAATATAAGAGTTTGCTGTACCAGTTTAGTGAAATACCAGTAACAAGTAAAATACGTTCACAGATTTCATAGAATTTATAAATGTTAGATGCTGTACCAAAAATTTATTCACACTAGCAGGCAGATAGTGGCGCTCTCAAAGTCTCAATGTTCATACCAATTGAATGGGTGTTTTAAAGGAAACCTACACTACATAGTCAAAATTAAGCACTGATTAAACTATCCTTTAATTGGTTTCCAAGTAAAATGGTCCACTGTACTAATTATATTGATCACGGTATCACACAACTTGGTTGCAGAGTAAAAAGTAAGAAGATGGTTAAATCTTTTATTGTCTTGTGATAATTGTTGAGCATAAACAACGAAGGATAATAAGTTTCCAAAAAGTCAGCAAGCACTAATAAACTGAAATATATAAAAGCTCCTCAACCATACACAGAACAACTCGAAAACTAGCTTGATGGCACACGAGAGTGGCAGTATATGATCATATTCGAGCGTATTCCACGAAATTTCAATCAGAAGCAAAACAGGATGAATTCCAAACCCTTGTACGAAGAAATACGTATACTAAATAGACATACATCTCTAATCAAACCGAAGCGAGATACAAAGAATCTTCACCTATGTATAAAATTCGTCTGTTTGAAACCTAAAAATAAAATCTCCAACTACCTAAACTGAAATCTAAACACAAAGGTTTCTCAAAATTAAAGTCTAGGGCTCAGGGCACGATATATGATAACATGAGAATTACAGCAATCAAACAATGAAATGGCGAATAAAAACAAACAAGTACTCTACATAACGATCAGAAAATCAAGTGAAAAAGAAAGGAGGTTAATTAGCGAACCTAGATCGCCGCCACGCTTGGCAGAGCTGCAGTCAGAGATGCGAGAGGCAATGTCCTCAAACTTGGACTTGCCGGAAACGATATCGTCTCGGAGCACAGTGAGCTGAGAGACGGCGCTATCGCGAGTGGTGTTCTTGATAATTCGGCCTTCCGGATCCTTCCATGAAGCAGGCCGCCGCGATCCCTGGTGCTTTATGAGTATGTGCGATGCCCTAACCTGACCGGCGGCCGTCGAAGAGGACATCTTGTTCTTCTTGCTGCTGCTACGCTTGTCCTTCGCAGTTCGATCTGCGGATGAGATCGAAGAAGACAATTTCTTTCGCTTCCGATCGGAATCTATTTTGGCAACCGATGACGGATAACGGTACCGCCGCCGCCTTCGCTTTTCCTCTCGCTTGGATTGGTGGAGACAGTGGCGAGCTCTTCACAATGGTGGGTACCAGAGAAGTGGAAGATTTATATATTATTGGATACTTCCCGAAACTGAGGTGAGACTTTTCCACTGCGGTTGAGTACAGCTTGTGATCCAATCTCCTCCGTCCATTTTCACGTTGATAAATATCTTGTGGTTGTCCATTTCCAATTATAAAAATATTATGCAACCTTACTCAAATGGTTAAAACACGATATCGTACGAATCTCTACTCTTACATTATATTAAAAAATTAAAAATTTTGTTAAAGTAAGTCTAAAGTCTCTATGTAAGAAAATCAAATTTACTATCGGCCAATTGGAGATAGGTACCCTAATTTAACCTATTTAATTATGTTTAGATTGACTTTTTATATAATAATAATTATTAATGTTGTTCGATTATGATTATGGTATGATATGATATTTAATAAAGGTTAGATGATTTAGTATAAAAAAAAAAATGATTTTGATGTAAAAAAAAGTGAATTGACGCTTAAATGGTTAAGGTGAAAATTTATTCCCTTTTTATTTCTAATGTTCATGATATCAATGCAACTAAATAAAAGTTTACTATCTTCTATGCTTAGAATAGAAGATTGCCTAAATATATTTAGGCAATCTTAAGTACTAAAAAATACCATCATTTTACCTGCGATGAAATAAGCAGGAATCTAACATTTTTGTATGCTCTTTTTTTTTCTTTTTTTTTTTTTTTGTTCTTTTTAATGGATTGGGCATAAATATTTAACCCATTTCGAAATTAAAGCCTGTGGGCTTTGAGCTTTCGGTGTCGATCCGCACGATGGAGTTGAATTTGAAGAAACAAAGTTGAGAGTTGAGAATCCATAATGGCGAACGATGATTCGGGGAATTCGGATTCTGGCGCGGGGACAGAGCAGGGCTGTCTCAATCGTCCCCTATGGAAGAAGATGTATCTGCAGCGGGGCGGTTATGAGCTTTGGAGATGGTAGCCATGGCGCAATCGGCTTGCCCACTTCGATCACTGGCATCGGTGGCGCCGCTTACGAGCCCATCACGGTGCCGGGGCTTCCTCCCGATGTTACCAGTGTAGCCGCAGGGCACTATCACTCCCTCGCCGTCGATTCGCAGGGCCATCTCTGGGCTTGGGGCAGAGACCACGAAGCGCAGCTTGGAAGGGGCTTTGCTTCCCCCAGGTACTTCGATTTTACATCTCTCTCTCAAATACGATTAGAATGCTTCCCTAATCCATTTTGGTTTTCTTATTGCTGTTGAGAAATGCGATCGCCGTTTTAAGTTGTTTCATTGTTTGATGTTCAGAAGTTCTAGTTGAAATTGGAATATGAAGCCCAAGAAATGCATCTTATGTTGTAATGTTCATAGATTTGTTGTCGTCGGTTATAATTGTTATATATTGAAGATTAAGCAGCAATATATATTGTTAAGTTTTAGTCTATTTACTTATTTGATTTATGTTTATTTTCTTTTTCGTGGATAACTACTACTTTATCTGTGAGGGGAAGCTTCGTTTAAACACCACAAGAATTTAAATTCGATGGCTCTTTGTGACATTTGTTCTTTTTCCCCTCACCAGTTTTAAATTTTACTTATTTAAGATTCAGTCGTCTCTTATCTTTAGCAGATTTTCAGCTTTGATAGTTGCCGTTTGCCATGATGGGCGTGAGTGCATCAGCTGAAAAGAACTCTCCTTTTACCTCTTAGTGTTTAGACAATTCTTACTAGCTTTATATATTGTGGATTAGAGCTTATATTTCGTTATAGCCAGTTTAAAATTTAAAGCTGTGTTGCTGATTTCCTTGAATCATTTCTGACAGAGATTCTTGGAATGTACCAAAGAGAGTGATAGGCCTGGACCTAGTAAACGTTCGATCAGCATCTGCCTCAGGTGTCGTCTCAGCTGCTATTGGGGATGATGGTAGTCTGTGGATTTGGGGGAAATCTAAGCGTGGGCAGCTTGGTCTTGGGAAAGACGTAATGGAGGCTGTTAGACCTTCCAGAGTTCAAGCACTTGAAGGTGAAAAGATAGTTAAGGTTGGCTGGCCGATATTCTTATTTAAGAATTCAAAATAATAGCAGGATAAAATAATTGCATAAGCTCTTGTACTACCATTTCAAACCTTTTGATGTAAAAGAACTTTGTATTCTTGGCAGGTCTCGTTTGGTTGGGGACATGCGCTTGCATGTAGTGAGGACGGAAAATTGTTTGGATGGGGTTATTATGCTGATGGTAGGTTGGGAAATGTTGGTAGAACGCTGAAGATGTCTCCTTTGGATTCAAGTTCATGTACGTCTACAAATGGCCAAAAACTCCAAAAAATTGAACTTGCCGAAAGGTTGGTTTTGGAATCAATGAAAGACGAGAAAAATATGCCAATAATATGGGAACCTCATTTTGTGGAAGACCTTACTGGTGTTGAAGTGGTAGACATTGCATGTGGACTTGATCATTCCTTGGTTCTTTGCCGTAAGTACACTAGAGTGAATCGCATTCATATTACTATTGAATCATCTGTCTGTGTTTGTTTGATGCCAATATCAAAATCTCAGGTGATGGCACCCTCTTAAGCTGTGGCAGCAACATATATGGGCAATTGGGAAGAGCTAGGCAAGATTTGGGATTGTTACCAGTTGACACAAGTTTCCATGTCAAATCTGTAGCAGCAGGGCTTGGTCATTCTCTGGCATTATGCCAAGATACTTCCAACAGAGAAATAAGAGACGTGGTAAGTGTCATCTCATGGGGATGGAATCAGACGCCTCAGCTTGGAAGAGAAGGACCAAACAGCATCCCATTGGCGATTGAAGAATTAGCAGGAGAAATACCAGTATCAGTGTCAGGAGGTCGTGCACATTCCATTGTTCTTGGCTCTAGGGGAGAAGTGTGGGTTTGGGGATGCGGAAAGGATGGTAGACTTGGGTTAGGTAGTTCCAGTGATGAATCTGAGCCAATTTTTCTTGACAGCCTTGAGAATTGCAATGTTGTGCAGGCTGTGTCAGGGTTTGATCATAATCTAGTCCTGGTTGCTGATTGATGTTGTTTAGGCAGTTGCTGAGAGATTTCTCTACGGTTTGCTTCTTAGAATGTATTTACTATGATTCCTTGCATCCAGTTGTACAAAAAGAAGAAATTTATTGGGCTTTTTTGTGTTTCTTGAGTTAGACTCTAGTTTACCCCAACTATATATTCGTTTTCAAGTGTGTTTTCTAATTTTAGAACTTGGATATGTAACCTTTCTTTAAAAATAAGCCTTCATTTGACTGAGCTTCTTGCAATTGATTTCTTTTCTGTTTCTCAAACATGTATTTTATTTAAATTTATGAATGAATAAACTTGCCGAAGAATGATCACAATATACAATATTTTTGGCATTTTATTATAATTTTTGAGTTTTAAAGAAATTTCCTGCAACTTGAGCAGGAACAAAAAGTACACTGCATTTTCTTTCTTCTCCTTTTGTTGCTGTGTTGACAGATACGGAGGCTAGCACGGTGGAAGATCCTTTGGTGGCGGAAGGACCGTTTGATCTTTTCCAGGTCCGTTTTCAACCACAAATGCTGTTTTCAGACCCCATCCTGTATGGACCTCGAGATGACAATGCATGAACCAGACTCCTGCACGTTCATTACCAACATGAGAAAATGAGCTATAACAATATATAACTCTTAAAAGGCATATTTTAAAATTTGTTCATTTTATAAAGTTAATATGCACCTGGATTATCGGCTCTAAATCGGATAGCAGTCCATCCTCCAGTGGGAACTCCAACTGTGTTTCTTTCGACGGGATCGACCAAATTGTACTTGGCTGGATCTTTGGCTGGATTGAAGTTTCCAATTCCCGTTCCAACGACGAAAAAGTTGTAGCCATGGAGGTGGAATGGATGCGACTCGACAGTGAGAAGATTAGTGTCCTGAAGTACCAGCTCAACTGTAGAATTGAACGCAATCTTGCTAAGCCTTGTGCCTACTGCAGTTCTCAAATTAGCAGTCAGTGGTACTCCAGTATAGTTGAATGGAGTCGGAGGTCTATCTGGGAAATCAGTTCTAAATACCCCACTGATATTGAAGTAATGAGCTTGAAGAAGACCAATTTGGGGCATCACAAAAGAGATGTTGTTTAATGAAGCAACGAATTGGGTTCCATTTAGACAACTGGGGCAAGCGTTTTTGCCCAAACCGATTGTGTAGAAGAGCTTTCTATCAACTTTGAGTGGAACATTAGCAGGATATTGAGGTGAGTTTAAGCTTTTGAGCTTCTTGTTATAGCTCAAAGCAAATGATGTGTCATTTGAGGCCGGTAACTGGGGAAGGATCGGGAGGATTGTGTTAGGGATGCCTTTGTATTGGAGAATACCGGTGGCTGTTTTGTTGTCCACGGGAATCGGAACGTCCATGAATGGCCTGGAAGCCATGAAGTATCTATTGGGCGCTTGGTTGGCTTGTACCAAGACATTTGTGGTCTGTCCAGGTGCAATTAGTATAGCTTGTGTTGTGAATGGTTTTGTGTAAACTGCATCGACCTCTACAACCGTCAGGTTGTGACCGGCGATGGCAAAGAAAAGCTCGTCGTTGAGGGCAGCATTGATTATTCTCAGGAGGTAAATCTTTCCTGCTTCAACCTCCATAGCAAAAGTATCTAAAAATGGACCAAAGAGGAAAACCAAGTCATTATCAGTGCTCTGTTCCCTGAAACTGGGTGTCAAAAGCTGTCTCCAAGTAACATCGCTTACGTTTTTCCGAGCAAGGGAAGAGCGGCCCTGGCTTGCCATTGATTGTGTGAGCATCAGACATATTTGGTGGCACGCCCATGCTGGATCCTTGGTTGACAACTGCCTCTACATCCTTATTCCACCATTCTCCTGCACCAGAGGTATCAATTCCATCATTATTTTCATTTTCCTGCAATGATCCAAGCACTATAATAATTTCAAGTAAATTTTCTCAACTAACCCAGAAGAATTTCAAATTCTCTGTTTGGCTGTGGGAATGGATATGGAGTTCCTTGCTTGGGCAAGATGACAATTGCACCATAAACTGTAGCCCTTAGCCAAAGAATGTGTGCATGCCACCATAATGTGCCTCTTTGTCCCGTGACATTGAAATCATAGGTATAGCTACTCCCTCTCTGGATAGGACATTGTGTAATGTAAGCAGGGCCGTCCGCCCAGCCGCTTCGATACTGCTTCAGTCCATGCCTGTAGAATATGCAGAAGGAGACTTGGATGACCCAAGTAATGGAAGAAAGTTTGTCAAATTTTACTCGTGTTATGTTAGGTCCTTTCTCTCTTACCAGTGAATCGACATGTTATATTGTGCAAGGTTTGTAACGTTGACAAGAACCCGATCTCCTTCTTGTGCATATATGGTTGGACCCGGAAACTTCCCATTTACAGTGACAATTGGTTTTGCATGGCATAATCTACTTACATTTTGCACTTGAACCTAAGAAAGAGAACCTCGGAAGAAAAGTCAGTTAAATTGTAGAACTGAATCAAGATTCAAGACCTTACTGTGCATATTTATATTTTACAGCTATTGCATGAATGTAAATAACTCACATCAAACTGATATCTCTTTATGGCAGCTTCTGCAGAAAATGAGATTAAGCCAAAACAAGAAGCAAAGAAGAGAAAGGCCAGATGATGAACAAGGCAAACCAAGCTGGCCATTGTCTTTCGACAACGGTTTTTTCTCGAGGTAATGCAAGTACGGGTGATGTATGATATAGAATGCAAACAATGTTTAAGTATTTATACTGTTTAGAAAACTACTCTGATTTGAAGGTCTGTCAGATCAAGTTGGTTGGAACTTGGAATTGTGCCAAGGGGCTCCACAGCCAAAGCTTGCAAGCAAAATACTGAATCACTGATAGAGACTTGCCTTGCCTTTGACTGACTTGGAGGCTGAGATTTCCAAACCAAAGACGAATGCTAAAGACTTGATGTTCACTTGAACTTATGTTCTATTGATATATTACAAAGTTACAGTGTCATACAAAAGGATTTGAATCTGAGAAGTATGTGAAGACAACTGGTGGTGTTTTTTCATTTCTCATTTTCATGTTTTGAGAAATAGGTGCCATTGGTAACATTATTCTTCATTGTTTCTCATTTATAGATTGAAAAAGCAAATATTTTTTTCTCATTCGTTTCTCATTTCCAATTTTTCGAGATATTAATTGAACTGTTGCTACAATTTTTGGCTCATAAATTATATTTCTATTGATTCTTTTACAATAATGATTTATAAGGGAGTATAGCTTAACAGAAAAGGCATATAACTTCTTCTCATACGGTTGAAAGTTCAAATTCTTATACCGCTAGATGCATATTGATGTTGGCATTTGAATATAATCCAAATCATATGTTCTAAAAATGTTTAACAAATATAAGTTTTTTCCGAACAAAATTTGGAAAGATTAAACCCTACTATACCATATATATATATATATATATATATATATATATATATATATATATGTAATATGTAATGTAGCACTTGAATTAAGGTTGATTAATGATAAAGTGTTTAAATGTTTAGCCTTAAAGTGAAGGGTTGAAAGGAGGAAATTAGTTAGGGTTTACTTTAAAGCTTGTTTTCCCTCTTCCCTTTTCCCCTTGATTCATGGCTACATTGCTTATCTAGGGAATGGACTCCCTTATTTTCTAAGCTTCTTCCTAGAACTGCAACTTTGCTTTTCACAACTCATTAACCCCACTCCCAATATATATATATATATATATATATATATATAATGACAATTTAAATTTTTAGAAGTTACAATTGAATTAAAAAATGAATTAAAAAATGGATCAATTTGATGTTTGATGTTACTTTTTTTCGATTCTATTTTTTCTGTCTTTGAAATGTCAAGAAATAATCATTTTAAAATCTCAAATTTCATAATGTCTATTTTAATCTTTCAACTTAAAAAAATAACTATTTTGGTCGTTGTTAAATTATTTTTTTACCTAAAATTCGTTTACTCAATACTTGGTATCGACCTATATGGCTTGGATACATGTCGACGTTGACACGTACCTAAAGCCATGTTATCAATTTATTAGAATCAAAATAAAAAGTAATTAAGAACCATAATAGTTACTTTCTAAAAGTTTAATATAAATCTTTTGAAAATTTAGGGAGGAAAGTCGAAGTCATGTTATTAATTTATTAATCAAATTAAATGTAACGACTAAAACGATCCTTTTTTTCCCCTCTACTCAAAATTTAGAGATTAAAATAAACATTTTGAAAATTTAGCCAAAAGTGAATAAACTTGAAAGTTTAAAGACTAAAATAAAATAAATTTATTGATTAAAGTGAGATTTAAACTTTAACGATATATTTGTCCCATTTTTGCCACCCGTTTCCCTCTTCCTTATTTACTGTCTTCAAAAGTGATGGGGATATTTTTCAAATGGTAATCTTTTTAAGTTTATATTTCAAAATAAAACACAACTTCAAACCTGAATGATTAAAATTTTAATTTAAGCCCCTTTTTCCAACAAAATAAATAAATATCCAATCACATTTTTCATTATTTGTAGTTGATAAAAAATTAACACAATTTTTTATAATCTTAAAAACTTTACAATTTAAATGGTAAGATAAATCCTATAGTATAACTGGCCAATAATTTTTTGCATTTTATCCCTTAATAGTTATAATTGTTACGTTCCGAGGACGAGTCATCAAACGGCTGTGCTATTTCGGTAAACAAAAGATTCGGACAACAATCCAACGGTTATGATTTGACGTTCATATCTCCCCTGATGTAGATAGAATGGATGCCAGCTAAGGAGGAAAAAAGGAGAAAATAAATAAATAAACAAGAGGATAATAGGATATGGTTAAATTACGTACTGACTCACAGTCACATGAACTTTTTAAAAATATTATTATTTTAAAAACAAATTTTAAAAAGTATTGTTGTTCGGATCATTAATTAATGTCACCACTTCATTTCTAAATATAGAAAACAAAATTCATATATTCTGCGATAAACAAAAAATTTAGGACTCGTTTGATAAGGTTATGTTTATTATTTTTTGTGTTTGTTTTTTTTTTTTTTTAGAAATATACATGTTTGGTAATCCATCATGTTTGTCGTATCTAAATTTTGAGAAAAAACTTTTAAAAAGTGGCTAAATTTAAATTTATATATTATACTAGAAAAATAACTGTTAAATGCTATGAACATAGTTTAACGGTTAACACACTCCCCTTGAAAAATTCTATATTGTACCAAAAAAAATAAAAAGAAATTAATTATTAGGCGTATAAATCATCTGCCAGGATATAATAATTTCAAAATTACAATATTTTCGAAATTAATTTTGAAGAAACTATATTTTTTTACAACAATTTATTTTATACTTAGACCAGTTAGCCCACAGCCACACGTGCCATTTAAAGTGTGACTTTTGGGGAAGTCTGAGCGAATGGCAGTAGATCCGCTTCTCCTAATTTCCAATTAATAATAACAACTTTCCTATTTTTATCAATCTAATAATCTGTTCGAAACTTATATTTACAAATAAATCTTCATTTTTTTCTTTTAAAGGAGGAGAGAGGTTTTTTATTTAAAATTTGAAAAAATATATTTCAAAACAAACAAATATTTATATGTTATTCTAATGTATTTTAGATTTATTTTACGGTGTATAATAAATTGAGTTTTAAATATCACTTTTGTTTTCTATTTAATACCTAGAATAAATAAATATGGTCAAAATTTTATTTTGATCCAGAAACTTTCAAGTTCATTCTATTATAGTATTAAGCTTTTAAAATATCTATTTAACTTTTTTTAAATAGTTATTTTGGTTTTACATCGGACGTGAGTTTAGGAAAAATAACAAATTTGATACTTTAATTTTGTCATTTACAATCCATCTACGTGGCTCGAATACATACATATGTCAGCCTATTAATACACTTACTCCAATTGACGTCATGTATTCATTATACAATTAATGATAAGAATAAAATAGTTATTTATTTAAAATTAACGGACTATAATAGATATTTAATAAATTTATAAACTAAAATGAAATAACACAATTTAAGTGTTATCATTTTAATCAACCAAAAAGGGACACTAGCTTAATAGTCATGGCCACTTAGGATTTACAATCCTACAACTTTTTCTTAACAATCAAATTCTTAAAAATAAAACAAAAATATATTTTCCTATCATTTTGAAATTTGCAAGTAATAAAAATAGTTTAAAACGTTAATTTTGAAACCGTTTAGAAACATTTGACAAAGAAAAAATCTATTTTTTTTGACAAGAAGATAAATAAAACATTAGACTAAATATTTTCAATTTGATACAATAAAAAAATACTCAATAAAAGAATAAATTTTAAGGGATATGGTTAGACCCACAAACAAAAGCTCTCAGAAAAAAAAAAAGAAATAATTTTCTACTATTTTTTTAAATTATAAGTATTATACCAATTATCGACGCTAGCTTTGGCAAAAATCGTTAAAAACTTTTCCTAAATTTTTTTTAAAAAAACCTGAACCTTGTTTTTTTATTTTTATGTTTATAACACCTTGAACCTTAGTTTAAAAGAATACTTCTACTTTTCAAAAGATTCAATGCTACTATTGATTTTCATAAATATTTTTAAAAAATATTATTTTGAACGAACAATTGACTCGACAATTAACATAGAAGCTTGACTAGGTTGTCTATCCAATTTTACTCTAAACATTTCCTTATTTCATTATTAACAAAGTTTGATTATTTGTTGTTTACCCAATTTTGCTTTAAAAAACAATTGTTACTTCTACATTTCCTTTTTTAGACTTAATTCATGTAAACTTTTCTACGTCGTTATAAATTCTGTCACGTCAATTTTTCATTAAAAAAATGAACAAATGTTTGCTTAGAGTATTTTTGAAAAGTTTACAGATAATATTGAAACTTGAAAAAAAAAATACCAATATTTTTTAAAGAAAGGGAAAAGTTGAAGGGTTTTTTTTTTGTAATT